CCCGTCTCTCATCTACATGTGGCTGGCGTAACCCATGAACAGAGCTGGCTGGTCTAATCTGAGCTGATTACTGCAAGAGCAGAAATCACTTCTAAAAGAGCTGATCACTTGAAGCCTCTGCCCATGCTCCTAAGGGTTACCCCTAGCTGGAAACTGCCTGGAACCCCCCCGGACAGTGGCTCTTTCCTGGGACACCTATCTGGGATTTGTTGTTGGCAGAGCTGGGGGTCAAAGAGACCCCCAGACCCAGCCGCAACAATGAAGAAATCTCTATTTACCAGAATTCTTTTTTATGACAAATACTGGAGCATTCCAAGGGCTCATAGATGGCTCTATGTGTCTTTGAGCTAGCTGTTTTGTACTAATGATTTTAGGGCATTGTAGCTTCTGCTTTTCAAGGGACCACTGTGGTACCCACACAGGCTGACTTGTTAGCCATTTCAGGGCTGGTGTGAGATAGCTTATGCCCAACAATGCACTGGTCCCCATCAAAAATTTGTTCCCACTCTGACTCCCCATGCAGAGAGAACATCCCTCCCCCACAGGTTCAGTGATGCTGCAGTGATGTGAGGTCAAACTGTAGCTATGTGGCCTTCTGGATTTTTGATCAATACAGGATTGCTATTCAAGCAGCTCTGTGTCATCCCCTGAGGCCAGCAATGGCAGATCCTGCAGGTGTGGTAGGCCATGATTAAGGCCATGTGTTGGCAGAAACAATGGTGATGTCTGCCCCTGTGTCAATCATACCACTGACCTTTATCTGTGAGGGCCTCGCTTGAGGCATCGTAACAGTACAAATCATATCTTAGCAGGGATAGTCAAAGGGGCAGTAGGGATTGACACCATGGCTTGTATTTATCTTGTAAAATCAGCGTTGATAACACCTGGTGCACCAAGATACCTTGCAAAGTTACACTGGATCTCCCTATTAGCAGTGCACTCAATCCTTTCCCTATGGGCCCCTGGGCCTTGAGAGGGACTTGATGTACCTCTAATGAGTTTATGGTTATTGGGATTGAGGTGTAAACATCCAAACCAGCTGATCCTCTTGCCCTTGCTGTGAGCTGGTCACACAGGCTTGTGCTGGAGGATGGGAAAATACGTGTGTCATCATGCATTTCCCCTTCATTTTGGGCTTCCCATTTCCCTGGTCTTTGAGAGATTGTCTGTTAACATGAAATTTGGACCAGCATACCTTGGCCATATGTCCAACTTTCCCACATCAGTTGCAGCTAGCATTACCACTTCTTTGCCCCTGAGAAGCCCCCTGTGGAATGGACTTGTGTGGACAGTTTATCTTCACATGGCCTTGTAATCCACACTTGTAGCACTGGGGTGTTAGTTTAACAGCAGCTATAATAGAATTAGCTAATATATCCATGTTATGAGATATAGTCTCAGCCTTAATACAGGCATTTATCCTTTATTTTAGAGATGGATTCTCTTTAGGTAATACATCTATAATTATTCTACAGTCTTGGTTTGCATTATCTCACATCAACTGTAGCATTAATTGACCCCTTGCTTTGCTGTTTGCGATCCGCTTTTCCATAGCATCCTGCAAACATTCCATGAATTGCATATATAGTTTGTTTGGTTGATGACTGAATAGCTTTGGGCTGTCACAGACAAGTCTGTAATTTTTGTTAGAGCCCACATTGCTAAGTCCTTCACTTGGGCTAGGACTGCAAAGTTCAAATGTGCCTGGATCTTCCATGGGGTGTAATCCCATGAGTTGAGGAATCCCTGCCCCAAAGCATGGGTCCTACTGTGAAGCTCTTGAATTTTTCAACTCCTGGTCCTTTGCATAGAATCTTCAGGCTGTTTCAAACATCATATACTGCACTGGAGTACAGATTAATTTTTCAATGTGCTTCATTTATCACAGGGAGTTAATTCACTAGCAGTTACAAATCTATTTGCAGCAGGCAACCCTAATCCATGTTTAGCTCTGAAAGGATTTACCAGCTAAAGGGCATGTATTTATTGGGGGTGTGCCATTACCTCACACAATTGCTCCCCCTCCCTGCTGCCAGCCCTCTTGTGATGGTAAGTTTGGTCAACCCAGCGGGGAGAATTTAGGAAGAAACCATTCAATTTCAGGGGGGAAAGGTATTCGGGGTCAACCGTTGGTACAAACAATTAAACAATTAACAATAAAAACGTACCACCACAGGTAAGGACATGGGCGCAGAAATCAATTCAGCCCCCTCTATATCCCTGCTTTTAATTTTTTTTTCTTTTACCTCCATCCAAAAGATCAGCGGCTGTCGAGTGGGGATGATTGCTGCTCTGAACATAAACTGGTTTGGAGCTGCTGACAGCAAGATTATAGGGGCTTGTCCTCTGGAGCTGGTAGTAAGGTTAAGACTTTTGTTTTCCTCCGTGGGGATCTCGTGTTTCCATCAGCGATGTGGTTTCATTGGGTTGCTGGAGCCTTGGCTGCAGCTGCGTTGAAGCTGGGCTGCTCTGGGTGTGGGACCACGACCGGGGCCCGGCACTAGAATGCTGCTTCCCGGGGAGGAATCCGGGCACTAGATACCGCATCAGCTCGGGCCCCGCCCCCCAGCAGCGGTAGGCAGGCGTGGCCAGCAGAGGCGGGACCGCGGGCGCGGCTTCTGGGCTGAGCCAATCAGCTCTGGGCAGGGGCGGTTCCAGGCGTTTCCATGGTGGCGGGGGCGTGGGTTGGGGCTGCGTCATGGTCACGGGCTGCGTCGCCGAAATGGCGGCACACTCTGTTCCTGGACAGCAGCTCCGTGCGGCACACTTTGGGGCGGCTACTGGGCGTTGTGGAACTGCACTGCAGCACGCCCTTAGTGCAGCCACGCCTTCACTGCTTGTCGAGCTCCTCTCAGCTGCGGCAGTGTCATCGTAGCTCGGGGCTCCGCTGCCCAGCGGGACCCAGACACATGGCGGGATTGCGCAATTTGGGTCATTGCCGCACGCTGCAGTCTGTCCACTGCCCACTGCCTGTGGTCTCCAGCATGGTGGGGTTGCAGGAAACGGCTCGCTAAAAGGCGGGTGAGGGGCCCGTTCAAGGTGGCACGGCTTCATGGGGCAGCCATTTCGTCCTGCTCCCCCTCCGCAGGCTTGGAAGGGGGTCCCAACCTCCCTCCGTCCCCTCCTTAGCCCCATTCTCGCCCTGCAGTCCAGTATTTTTCTGTCTCATTAAGACAAAAACAAATCTCCGGGGCTTTAAAACTTTTATCGCGTTTTCGTTTCCCCTGGAGGCTGCCCTAAGTATATTGTCATTCCCAAATATTTGTATCAAGGGCAGCCTCTTGGTGTCCAATTCATGGTTCTTTGCCCACGTTATTAAAGCTAATAATGCATCTTTATCATATTCTTCCTGCCATTCTTGTAAAAGAAGTGACAGTACCTTCAAAACTGGATGTGGTTGGGTTGACATCCAACTTCCCATGGCTCTGATGATTATTTTCTTCTACTTTTAAGGCTAAATCCAAAAATATTCCGGATTTTGAGCGATTTTCCACCACAAACAGCTCTCCCCCATTTATTTTCAGACTTTTTCTGCACGCCTATTATTTCAGCTTTTTGGTGCTATTTTTTTCAGCTTTTTCCACTGTTTTGGATAGGCTCTCCACACTCTGTCTTCCCTCCTGCTCTGCTTGCGGCAATGCCTGTGTCTTCACATAGGGTCGCCACATGTTATGTGCCAGCCATGGGTGGAGAGACGAAATCCACAACTCGAGATCCAGAGCTCATCAGACAAAACATCCTCGTATATTGTTCAGAGCTCATTTATATACTCGATTGGAAACTCCCGGCTCACATAGCTTATTGGCTGGGATCTCTCTCCGCCCAGATCTCTGGCCAGGGATGTGCTTCCTACTAATCATGAATAGGGATGGCTGGGGGTCCCCTGTAACTTATCCAGGAACTTGTTCAGGCATGAACTAGGCTAGCTGAATTGGATTTGTGTTCGTCCAGGCCAGCTGTATTGTGACAATATTGTGACATTCAGCAAGGTCAGTCACCATCAGCCAAGCTTCTTGCCTCAACCAAGTAAGCAATTATAAGAGAACAAGCTTGTAGATCCATCTTTCCTAAAATGCTTCTGTTTGATCAATGTGCCAGGAGAGAGTACTCTATGTTGCTCCTGGTTGTGGCCTTCTCAGTGAAAGGGAACCTTTCCAGTTTTACTGTAGCCTTTAGTACCCACTTTCATACTTCAGTTGTTTCTGCAATTAAGTGTGATTATCTGTCACTGAATATTTGGTCTAGTTTTGATGGATTTAGGCTTCTATGTAGCTTTCTGCTACAGCAGTCTAACCAAACAACTCTCTGTCAGGTATTCCTTACCTATGTGACAAATGCAGTAACTTTTCCTTTTGTTTTGTCATAAAACAAGCTTTATTTTAAAACATCTTTATTTACACAAGTTTATCCAAAAATGAAAAAAGATACTGAAATTCTGAAAGGGTTCTAATTAGAAGGAAAATAATATGGAACCATTGCAGTCCTTGCATTGGTTTTGTCTACCAGCTCTACCACAGTTCTACCAGCTCATTAAGTTCTTTCAGTAGGGCTTGGTAAAACAAAAAGTTTGTTTAAATAGAGGATGTCCAGCAGACAAGATAGTCCAAGGACCAGCGTATTTGTGCCAGAGTCAAAATGAAGTCAGAAGCTACCAGAAACATAATGATAAATGCTCCAGTTACAGCTGCCCCAGCTTAACTGAATTCCATGTTTTACTTAACAATCACTTTATCAAATGGAGGTAGGAAGCTCAGTAACAAAACAATTTTTGCTCAATATAAGCAGATGAATGAAGGGGTGGCCATCATTATTTGAGATGCAGGAGAACAACATAGCCATGTAGTCAATTAACATCTCCTGAAGGGCCATCTCAAGAGTAGGACAAAGAAAAGGAAATGCCAGAGAAGAGGATCATGTTCTGAAATGTGCAAATTACAGTACTTTGAACACAAATAATTGAATTTATTTATTCCTTCCTTTTTTTTTTTTTTTTTCCTCTCACCTCATGCTGAAGAGTAGGGTTGATCAATAAAATACAAAGGAGTATGGCAGGAAGTGTCTGATCAACACCATGCCAGAGTGTTTGTCCCTGGAAAGGAATAAACCAAATTTTTTAAATGACACTTTTACATAGTAAATCCTAATGTGTTGGACAAGATACAATTTAGGGCTATATGAAATGCAAGCAAAAGTGGCATGATTTTTTAATTCTTTAATTCTGGTTCTTACTAAAAACTGTCAATCTGATAACTGATGATGAAACAGTTCATTAGTATGCTCTTGTTTTGGAGCTCCCATGAACTTGGACCTGGTGGCAATCAAAGACAGTATTTGGAGTTTGCATAGCAATATTTTTGGGGAGAGGTGGGGACCACAGTGGTGCCTTCTTTGAGCTTCTGAGAGAAGCTTTCTCCATGTTCTACAGAGCCAATGCCAGACAGCTCCAGGACAGACCCGCTATTGGTAGGGTTGAGCCCAGCAGCGATGGTAGTGCTTCTGAGGTTGTGTCAGCCCCATCAAGCACGGAAAGAACAATTCCAGAGAGCTGATAGGAACAGTAAAGTTGTCTGTATGCAAACATTCTACTCAGGCAGCACATGGAGGACAAGCTTGTTACAGATCTTCTTTAATTGGTGCAAATGCATTTTGTGTGACCTACGTGTGACTATGGATACAATGAGAGAACTTCCAGTCCCTCTCTTTGGTTTATGATCTATGTTAAATCAAAGGAACAGCTCAGAAGATGCTGCTGGTTCCAGAAGCAGTAATATGCAGGTGTTACAGCCTGGATATAATAGCTTCCTACAGGGAAAATTGTACCACCCTATGGAGACTTCAGTATTTCAGAGAAAGATGGATAAATAACAATTTATCTTTTAACAGTGCAAATGTTGAAGTTGACAAAAAATAACTCTGTACACTTTTAATACAATCGTAGTCACTCCTTACTCCTGCTATTATGGCTATTCCCAAAAAAAGATGGACTATTCACCTTAAATTAAAGGCTTATGGAGAACCTAGAGGCAATTGATACATTAAAATTCCTTGCACAGATTTTTACTTACGCTTGTTCTTTAATTCCGTGGAGAAATGCTTTAGTTTCTGTCTCTGATATCTCTCCATCAATACTGGCCAAATATGAATAAAGGAATGAGAATGTTTCGAAGGGAATGAGAGCTGCTCCACCTTCTGGGTCTCTTGTTAGGATCTCGCAGGCCTGTTTCATTGAACTCAGTAAGGACTGCAAGGGGTTCCAGCAAGAAATGAAAGGAAAAGTATCAGAGCCATGAACATCCTTGCATAACATGACAAAATCCACAGTATAAGCCATTAAAAGGGAGGGTAAATGAGATGAAGGTGATATCATTATTGCCTAGCTTTAAACCCCAAATTTACTCTCTAGTGCAGGTCCAAGGATGGAAACAATAATGTAGTTGTAGTAGGGAAAGGAGTAAAAAATACCAGAATCTTGTGATGGTTAAAGATCGCATAGGGTAATCTGAGCTCTCTCTCCATTAGGGCCAAATTGCTCTGTTTTGCTACTGTAAAAGCTCCAACATCACTGTATCCAGTAAAAGATCTCCCTGTGTGTGTGTATATTACCTCAATGGTTCTAAATTAATTCTCAGCAGCAGTTAAGACAGACAAATCTACAACCCCCAGAAAATTAATATAGGTTTGGTGATTTTATTATTATATGGTATTATATAATTTTTAGATTATATTTTGGCTGATATTTACTGTTTCCCCTATCTCTATGCAAGTTTCATTTGAATAGATAGTAGAAAAAGCACTGAGGCAAAAAGCATTTAAGGAATATTTCAGTTTAGTCGAAGACAAAAAACATCTTAGTTACCTTTAAAAACATGCCTCAAATTATTAGTTCCAAATATACTTTGAAAAAATCCTTCCTTTAATATGGTGTTAATAATCCAGTGCCCTATGCATGCTGAGCTATATGGGGAAAAGTGTGGAAAAATTCAGCACTGAGTTTCATTCAGCCAAAGACTGGTTGAATGCCATCAAAGAAACAAATAAAACCACACATGCAATATAAAAGCAGAAAACCAAACCCACACAGGATTTCTTCAACCTAAGTCTTACTATTTTTCACTGCAACTTTTTCAAAATTTACATTTTCATTAACCAGCAAGAAACATATCTATGTAAAAAGATAGTATTTCCTAACAGTAGAATAGCAATACTTAAAATAAACGCAGTATCTATTTAAGATCTAGAACACATGCCAGAGAAGTGTCATCTTATTATCCTTTAACAATTTTATTCAATATATTTCCTTCCCTGGGAGGCTTCTCAGGGAAAAGAGAGGCAGCTGACTCTATGGCCAGCTTCACATTTTACATTTGGCTACCCCTCTACTTCCCCTTCTGGTCCTGCCATCCCTAACTGCCGCAGTGTCTCTCTCACAACACAACAAAGTTATTCATATCCATTTTGCCAACTTGGAAAGACAATTTAACAGGCTACATATGTGGTCATTTCTCCAAGCCTTTTGTAAAAATGCATTGGTGCTTTAGAAAAAGATACCTCAGACTGGTGCTCTTAAGAAGTTCATACTTGTCTACTCTTGTATCTCAACTGTAACCCTGTTTGACTGTGAACACAATTTACAGATGCAGGAAATTAATGTAAATTTCGTGTGTCTTTCTCTCTGGTTTAGGAAACCAAGGTTTAGGTTTCATTATGTAGTACTGAAATCAAATTATTCACTTAATATCCAAAAGCATGGTAAGATGGTGAAATTTAGTCTGTCTGGCTCCATCAGAATAATGCTCCTGTAACTCCATTTTTGGTTTTGGTTTGTTTGGGGTTTTTTAGCAGGGAGACAGGGGTTGTTGTTTTCTAGATAAGTAGTGTTGCTGATACTATTTTTAAATTAAGAAAAGAGCCCAAACTATGAGATCATTTTGGGAGAGAGACTGGAATGAAGAAAAACAAATCTGAAATATTTCAAGAAAGACAGACAGCAAGACAGACAATTGCACAATTGTATCACCAGACCAGGTTAACATTCAGGGCTTCCAGATACTGAAACATTCACAAAATATTGTTTCACATATATTTTCTGGTTAGTACCTCTTCTTCCCTATTGTAGAAATCATTAGAAGTAGTATACTTTATAAGAATATCAGCAGAACACATTTTATAATCTTTCATTCTGTTGAAATGCTCTGCTGAGATTTTATTACTGACATTAAAAGAATTGTAGCTGTAGTAGCATTAAATGCTGCTGAGAAAATTTAATTTGCTACACAATCATTTAAAAGTTGGTTCTTTAATTTCTCCCTTCAGCTCTCCTTCATGGACATTTACACTGATGCCATCAGCATCATTCCTCCATCATCCTTTCACACAGTATGAGGTCCCTGCAGACACGCTTGCTCTTCTATTGCCACTCCAGTAAACTGAGGATTTAGCTATCCTTCTGGTTAAGTTCCCCAGACCAAAATCTGATGGGCAAGAGAAGTAAACATGCAAGCCACTTTGCCAGCTGCTGCAAAAGCAATCACCATTCCCCAAATCCATCTGCATTAATTGTTCTATGGTCTATCTTATATATGGATCTTAGACAAGCATTTGTGTTTGGATATGAGGGCTCCTGCTGTGAACGTACCCCACCAAGCACGCTGCACCCAAGTGCCAGAAACTTCATCCATTCCACCTTCTCTCCAAAACTGTCCAGTTGCAGGATAGCTTCCAGCTGCTTCTCTGGCAAGCCCAAATGCTTCCATTTATCCCTCAGTTCTGCAAAGGTCACCATGCCTTTGGAAGAAAGCTTTGAACAAAAACATGGTACCTCAATAAAAACTCTGAAAACCAGAATGAATTTAAGAACAGAGTGTCTCCCCAAAATACTTCAATATTTGAATACTTCAAATACTTGACAGTCTCTCTCCCCAACCATCTCCAACACATCAGCATTCCTCAATAGCATTGTGCATTTCATAAATAACAGCTTGTACCTGTTTGTGCAAGACCTTAAGGAGTCCTGGGGTCAAACCAGCATCTTTTTTCTCTGTTGCTAAAGGCATTTCGATCCTTTCCTTCACAGGAAGGGGTTCACCTTTAGACAAGGCTGAAAAATACCTAAGTGAATGGGAAGAGCAACACATCTCAATGCCCATGGCCATTACAAACTGCACAGAAGTAAATGCTCTTGCAGTTCAGTGTAAGAATCTGCAAGCTCCCCCACAGGAGCAGCAGCACCTGGCAAGCTGCTTACATGCACAACTCCCATCCTCCTGTGCCCAGAAACCACAATCTTTAGACTTTACTTGAACCTTTCATGACACTCTAATAATTCTTAACGAATTTCACTTATTTTGTGCATGATATATTCAGCTCTTTTGACTGATGAACCTGAGGGCCCATCTGTTTAACATTCTCCTCATGCACTACCCAAAATGTACCTCTGCCTATTCACATTGCAACTCTCTCCTCAGAATTTCTGCTATTTCTGTCTGTTCCAAAATAAAATTTTAAAGTAGAACTCTTAAAGTTCTACTTTAAAGGGCATTGGATGCACATCCTTTTAATTATAAGGCTGCCACAACCTTAAGAGCTACCTCACCTTAACTGCCCAGCAATCTGAATTGTGCAGGTAAAACTCTGTTTTTATTCAGGTGCATCTAATTTACAAGTTTCTCCACTTGTCCTGCCTCATCTGTCCTGCTCACCCAGGTCCATGTCCAGGCTATCCCATGCTGTGCACATACGTGCTAAAATACACAGCAGGCAGCACTCCAGAACTGAATTAGTGTGACTATATCCATAGAAATGGATGCACAGTATGTACGTAAATATAACACCCGGGCTATTTTTCAGCCAGATCTATTTCCTCATCTGATTATTCACAGGGATAAGCACTGCAATACCGACAGCACGTCTGAAGCCACAGCCTCGTTCTGCTTTGCACGACTCCCAGGTATAGATCTTGTCCTACAAAGTACACCAGAGAATGCTCCAGAAAGAGGGGCGTGCGGTCAGCAGCAGCCGCCCACCCAGCTGCGCGGCTCCTCCCGCCGAGCTGCTGCAGTACTTAGGCAGAGGTCGGGGGCTGGCTGCTGGCATGACCTTGGCACTGCCGGGCTGCCCCTGCTCTCGCCAGCCCCACGTCCCAGCAGGCTCAAGCTACAGAGGTAGCCGCACCTCACTTCCATCAAATTCCTAAGAAACGCCGCACCATTTTAAGGTGGTCCTGCTGGCTTTCTCCAACACTGCAGCGGTAACAAATCAGCCTCAGATTATTTTCTTTTTAACAGACAAGCCAGACTCCAGCCTGGCTTTGTTAACAGCTTCCCCTCCCACATGTACACATGCCCACACAAAACACAGGACAGGAAAAATTATAGTGAGCAGTTGAAGTAAAAGAAAAAAAATCGATGTTAAAGGAGAAACAATTAAACATCTAAATCAACTTTATGGTGAGAGATTTATTACGCAGATTATCACTTCAAAGGTGCAAATTTTCAGGCACGTTTCCCAGAAAGAAAAAAGAGAAACCTAACCAAGCTTAAGAATTAGAAAGCTAACGTCTAATTTTTCCTTTAAATTCCAAGAACTGAATCACAGATGAGAGAAGAAAAACCAAGCCAAACTAAAAGATAAAATGGTTGGTCTTTCAGACAGAAAAGCAAATAACAAAAAGAAAATAAAGATGCATTTTGTGTATGGAAATATAGCTATTTCAGAAGTAAGCCAGCCCTAAGCCTCAAGGAAACAGAAAATAAATAAAATACCACACTATTTTTAAAAGGCTTGCATGCTGCATTAATACACAGAAGCATATATGCAATGTACATGCTGGTATAATATTCAAAGCTATGTCCACTATACAATAAAGAAGAGAGTGAGGTTTTGAGGGTCCATATGTATAGCTCTCTGTTGTTAGGTGAACATCATACTTACGCAGCTGCCCACTGCAAAACATCATAAGGCTGAGTCCTAATAGCAGCTTTAGTAAATTGCTTCAGAATGTCGGGTAGTTCCGGAGGGATTTTGATCTGCTGGACACAGAACATGGTTTCTGGAAGAGGCATGGTGTCCAGTCACAAAGACCTGAAAGAAATAAAACAGCAGTTCACACATGCAGAATGTGAATGAAAAACTGTGTGTGCACATGGGAGTGAACAGTGCATATCCCCAAATTCCCTCCTGTCCTACTTGAATAGCTGGGGCTACTGCAGAGCTGACAGACTTGGAAAGGTAAACAGACAAGCCCTGCATGGCTCTAAAAAACTTTGTTGCTACACCAAATAAAACAGGGCAGCTTGGGCACCAATCACAGCTCAGTGAGAACTACTACTTTAACAGGTGACTTCAGATAGTTTTAAACTAATTTTTCTCCTCAAACCTACAACAAAAATTTGTAAAATGGGCAGTCCAGACAAGTCACACCACACATGCCAACATGAAAGGTATCTTAAACATTGACAATTCACTACTGCATGCCAAGGAAAATCTTGGCATTTTTGTACAGATCCAGAGCATGCAGATGACCAAGTTTCTACTTGGTTTATGTTTATGTATTCAAAAATTCTGTAGCCAAAAAGTTACCAATTTGTGTTTGTGACAGACTTCACATCAAACAAAATATTGTGATGAACAAAATATTCATGTGTGCTGCAAGCACACATGCTCACACAGCTCTACAGGTGTGTTTATCTCATTCAGGATGTAATTAATTTGTTGCAAGGAAACCTGTTCCCCAGCATCCGAAAGAAAGGACAGAGATAGGCTATTGTATGGTCCTTCTCCCATGATAGCAATGGGGCATATTTGGTGGGAAACTCTCCTTATCATTTCCAGGACAAACTATGGCATACTTAAGTTGATTTAGCAACAAGAACCTAAAATGGTTAGTTATTTGCAGAAAGGAGGAGCAGTAAAAACAACAGCATCGAGAAAGGAATCCATGTATCAGAATCCTCTATCAATTTAGACTTTTTTAATTTTTAAGATAAAAGTAAGAGTACCTGGCAGGTGGCTTTCTTATGTGAATTTTCCTGTTGTGGAAAAGAAAAAAAATAAAAGCCAGCAACAGAGTGATGAAACTGCTGTGACTCAAGGCTCCTTTGAGGATCAAACCATACTTAGAACTTTATTTATGGAGAAATGTAGACAGGGTACAGAATCTTCATCACTCCAATGCAGCCAATTTGCATCAGGAACAGACTTGAAAGTGCACATTTAATTACCACATTGGTTATGCTTTTTCAGTAGTGATTCAAAAACACAGCTCTAGCCAAGGAACTGAAGCTAGCTGAGAATTTCAGGACAACAGAAAAACTTGGAGAAAGGAATACAGGTGTGTCTGTGTGTGTGTACCCTTGGGAAGCAGTCAAATAATAGACTAAAAATATAATCACAAAAGAAAAATACAGTTCAAGAGCTGCTTTTCTACAGTAAGCCATTAGTCACAGTCTCACAGAAGGGCAGAGGTTGGCAGAGACTTCTTGGAGGTCAGCTGGTCTGAACCCCTGCACAACCTATGAGCAGGTTGCCAAAGATCCATGTCCAGGTGTGTTTCAAGAATCTCACAAGGATGGAGAGTCTACACCCCCCTGGGCAACCTGCACCAGCGCTTGGTCACCCTCACAGGTGTTATAGATACATATTATATTATTGTCTTTTCGCAAATATTAAAATGAAAGTTATATGTATAATGTTGGAAAACTTTGCTGTATTAATATAGTTTTATTTCTGTTATTGATAAAGGTTGTAGCATAGTATTAAAATAAAAAAAAAATGCTTTTGTTCATAGAACTCAGAGACTGAAAAGATAGTCAGAAATGCCCCCTGCATTCTTAGATTATCTTATCTAGATGAAGACAGCTGTGACCAGTGCTCCAAGGGAGGAATTTATTGAATCTCCATTATCAGGGAGTGTGAGACTCAACAAAGCCAAGAAGATTGATCTATGGGGGAGGGAGGAGTTAAGCTAAACAAAGGAACCTCCAAAACTTAAGAGGAATGTTTGAATTATGTATAAGAATTTGTGAATATGTAATAGGGTTCTGTTTTTAAGGGACAATCCTTTGATAGTAAGGTGTGCTCTCTTGGCTGAATGCAGAGACACCCGGCCATATTTGTACATTTTGCTTTATTTGTATCTCCGAATTGTCTATTAAACTTTTTAAATTTTATATAAAAAAATGTGAACCTCGTTTTTCACACGGAAAAAGGGTTTCTTGTTCAGAGAGAACATCCTGTACATATATATACACACACACACCTAATGATCAAAGAAAAGCACAGCTAGGTCAGGCAGCTCCTGCACCCCTTCACCGTTGCTACTCTGTCTTGGGTTACTCTCGCTAGAGACAAAGGTGAGCTCCTAACTTTCACTTCCTGTTAGCTCTTATTTTCTGTTATTTTCCTTTCACGCATCCCAGCCCCAAGCCAGCCCCAGGTGTTCAGGAAAAAAGGCCAAAGCGTGTCCGCACGTAGGTGGGACAGGCAGAGCCGCGAGTGCCCGAAGCCCATCCGCCCCGAGCTGTGGGGATGCAGCGCGGGCGGGCACCGGCCCCGGCGCGGCCCCTCGCAGGCCGGAGGGAGCCGCAGGGCCGCCCCACAGTTCCAGCGCCCCCCGAACACCCCCGCGGCAGCCGCCCACGGGCTCGGGGAAGGCCCGGGCACGCCCCCTCACCTGCCCCACTCCACGGCTCCGCTGCCCTGGCAACGCGGAGGGACGGGCCGCGGCGGGCGGTCCGGGCGCTGGGCGGGGGAAAAACTTGATGGCGGCGAGGTTTAAAGGGCAAGAGCAGCGCCTGTTTTGTACAAACTTTTGAAAAGGCCCAAACCATGGATGAGGGGACTGAGTTTACATTAGTAAATGCACAGACAGCCGTAAGGTGGGTCGGATACAGCGGCTGAACCTGAGCCAGCAGTGGGCCCTGGTGGCCAGAAAGGTCAGTGGCATCCCAGCCTGTGTCAGCAGTAGTGTGGCCAGCAGGATGAGGGAAGAGGGGATTCTTCCCCTGTATGCGGCCCTGGTGAGGCTACACCACGAATCCCGTGTCCTCTCAATTCAGGGAGGAACCAGTGTTCTGGAGGGAGTGCAGGGAAGGGTAACAAAGCTGGTGAAGGGCTTGGAGCACAAGTCCAGCAGGGGAAGCTGGGGTTGTTTAGCCTGGAAAAGAAGAATCTCAGGGGTGACCTTATTGCTCTCTGCAATTTCCTAAAAGGAAGGTGTAGGCAGGAAAGGGTCAGCATCTTTTCCCACCCAGTGACAGAGTAAGAGGGCATAGTCTTAAGCTGTGGCAGGGGACATTCAGACATTTAGATTGGACATTAAGAAGAATTTCTTCACAGAAGGGGTAGTGGAAGGGTTAAGCCAGGGAGGCAGTGGAATCACCATCCCTGGTGGTGTTGAAGGAAATAATGCACGTGGCATTTAGTGCCATGGTCTAGTTGCTAGGGTGGTGTTTGGTCATAGGCTGGTCTTGATCTCAGAGATCTTTTCCAACTTAATTGATTCTGTGATTCTGTGAACATCTTAGCACCATATTATTGGCAGAGCCTATGGCAGGGAAGCTGGTTCCTGGGCTCCTGGGTCCCCTGGCCACAAGGATACTCTACTGGGTGAGCAATAGGTTAGGGTGGCATGTCCATCTTGCCTTTGGCATTCTTGCACCTCCTTTCCTGGCTTGGATGAAAAGTGGAGAAATGCTGATTGAGCTGAAAAAAAGATAGGGCAATGTATCCCCAAAAATTCTCTTTACTCATAGCAGCTACTGCTTCCAAGGACAGCTCAGCCACAAGCAACCTCTGCTGATCAGGCTCCACAGTCCTGGACATTCAGAATAGCAGCACCACTGAGAGTCTGCCACCACTGAGCAGCACAGCCAGTGCCAGCTGCTTCTCAGCACCCGATGGTCCAAACTGACACCACAAGGCAGCATGGGCTCTCCCACTGCTCCAGAATGTGAGGAACCAAACTGCCCTCTCTACCACAAAGTCTTGGTGGACAGCTACAAGTCTTCTTTGCACTGCAGATAAAAACAGCATCAGAGGTAATCTGACTGACATCCTCTGTAAACACACCAGTGCATCTCTTGGTTACAAAGCAATAGCCCTCTTGTACCTTCTAACATGCACTGTACATAGCCTGTGCACTCATATCAACTTGGTAATAGGATTATTCATTTCAGAAAGCCTTCACAAGCTGTTGCTCCAAAGAAGCTTGGGTGCTGCATGCTTGAAACAGGCCAAGCAGTTACTGCAGAAGCACACAATCTTATTTGAAGCCAGGCCTTTTAATCCACATTATGTCCCCACTGATGAACATGCAAGGCCACGCAGGACAAAGATAAAATGTGGGCTCCAGAAAGCATTAAGCACACATTTTAACTGTTTAATCTTTCATAAAACATGAATACTTAGCATATAAGCAATAGGCTAATTATTTGGCCCCAAAATACTTTGCAGATTCCTGTAACTAATGAAAAAGCAAACTTCTGACATATAATTACATACATTTCTATCCTGTATCTGTTTTAAAACATCTACTCATTTAAGAATACTATAGCAAGAAAAACATGAAACAAACATTATCCTGCAGGAGTTTACAGAATATAATTCAATTTAAGTGATTTCACAGTGCAGATTTTCAAAGGTGTCTAGTGATAACAGATAAACAAGATTCATATTATCTCTTATCTGTGATCCTTGCACACACTTGAAAATATCCTTAAAACACTCAAAATGTAGATGTCATACTCTTAATTCTTCTAGCTATTTGGTCCAGTGCAGTGAAATAATGGATAAAGCTGCCACAAGGTATTTATGGGGAACAGCAGCATGTAGGTGGAATATTTTTCTATATTTAATGAAATGTATTTTCATAGAAACATAGAATGGCTTGGGTTGGACCTTGAAGATCACCGGTAAGGCATGAGCACTTTCACTAGACCAGGCTACTGAGCTCCATCCAACCTGACCTTTAACACCTACAGTGATGGGCATCCACATCTTTTCTGGGCAATCTGTTCCAGTGTTTCATCACCCTCACAATAAAGACTGTCTTCCTAACAGCTAATCTTAAACTATTTCAGTTTGAAGTCATTCCCCCTTGTCCTGTCACTACATGCTCTTGTAAATACTCTCTTTATATGAATCTGTGCTGCTTCCTAGGAGTATTTCCTCCCACTGTATAATACCAGGTCTTGTATATAAAGAACATTTAAAAGTATATCCATGAATATAATTGTTGCTTTACAGCAGCACTGCCAGAAATGCTGCTGTATAGCAACACAGATTAGAATTCCTGCTGCTTCCTACTTCCGTGACTCCCGCTCACAACTAGTCAAAATATTCCATGGACTGTCCATGCTAATCCAGCAATATTTAGATTCATCACATTCCTCACCTAACTCTAGCAAGCCACTTATGCAATTTGTATCTGCTAAGCATGGCACACCAGTGCACTATTTAGGTTCTAATACAGAAACTCTATATTGAATACTCTATTCAGCTTTGCAGTGTTCTGTTTTTGTAAGCAAGAAGGAATTCTAAGTAAAACTAATGTCCTTTTCCAGAAACACAAACAGTCCTTGAAAGGCAAGTAATGTTAAATACCACCCCCTTCTCCCACACCTAATGTTAGACATCTTCAGATGTTTGACTTTGCCTTATATAGGGGAAAATGCTTCTGCAGCTTTGGTGTTGGTCAATACTCATGAGGTAAAAGGTAATAGCAGGTAAGCAGAAAAATTAATATGCAGAGCTGTGAAATAATCTTCCCATTGCTCCATATCTTAGTATTATACTGAAGTAAAAACATTCCATTTATTTTGAAACTATTTGACCTCTGGAAATACAATATTTTAAAATTTTCCATTACTGAGTAACTTTGATTTCACTATATAATTTCTCAATTTATGGTGACATCTTAATGAAGAAATTAAAACCAAAAGCACAGCTTAAAAAATTGCTGTTAACTGTGCAATTCTTTATTTTGTTACCTAATTAAGAACTGAAATACCAGAGTAAGATAGCTGTAACTTACCATTGTGCTTCGTAAATTGTTTCCTCGTCTGTTTCAGAGAACAGCTTATTTTATTTTGCATACTGAACTTCATTACACTACCAAGAATCAATTCCTTGTTTAATGTTTTTACTATTTGTGTATCATCATTTCTTCCAAGAACCTCACTCATTGCCCAGGCTGTACAGCAGTCTTTATTCCCAAGGCAACGGAACAAGAACTCTGACCCTACCACAAACCCTTTCTAATCTAGATGTAAAAAAATGGACAGTGATGTCCAAGGAAACAAAATGATGCTGATCAGTATGCTAAGCAATCAAACCCTAGTCATTTGTGCTTTGTGAGGTACAGAACCTTGTGAAGCTTTTCATGGTTTTCTGAACAACAGTGCAGCTGCTGTGAAGATTTTTATGGAGACCTTATGCAAGCATAGGAGAAGGCAAGGAAAGAATGCGCTCAGCTGCAAAGTGATGTGAGCACTGAAATAAGTTGGAGTTGGCATCTTACTGGAGAAGTCAGACACAAAGCAGTTACAGGTACGGAAGGGCCCTCAGAAACAAAATCAACTAGCTTCAGCTTCACTCAATAATTGAGAAGGGGCAGACAGAAAAGATGCAGAGTTCTAACTATTTTTAATCAATATAGAAGAATCTGTGTAAAAACAGTCAAAGCCATGCTGCAATTAACTTCTTTCAATATACACAAGATAGCTACAGAGCCATCTGACAATTCTTGCATGAAGACCTGTAGAACTAACAGCATTAGATTCTCAACAGACAAAGGGAATAAAATTGAGCCAGCACACACCACCAATCCCTCCAGTCAAGACCAAGGTCAACACAAATTGTGGTGGAAGAGTGTGTACACACACATACATGCACACACACACACACGCACAGATTCTTTCCCACTTGAAAAGTAAGAGGAGCCCACACAACTCTGCATCACTCCAGCACAGATGGAAACTACTGGTACAGTGCTCATCAGCTGTCTCAGAAACAGCCACTTAACCTACAAGCTTACTTATCAAGTTTCTATGCCAGGGGAGCATACAGCACACAATAAAGCAAACCACTGAAATTTAAAACAATTTATAAAGTACTGTTAATCCCTATTCTCTACAGCCTCCATATTCTTTCAAAAATGTGTAAAAATAAGGCGATGAGGACATGAGATTTCTGAAAAGTTCACAATGGACAGTTCTGGAAACAAACTTCATCTGGGATCTGTAAAGCAGTGCAAATGCCAGCACAACAGTTGGATTTGAAACCATTTTCCATTAAAAAAACCCCCAAAATCCAAATACAGATAATGTAAGCAACATCAAAACAGCTGCAGTTCACATTGCATGACTGGCCTGATTTGCTATTTTCTTTCATGACTTGTAAAATACCAGTAGTAAGAAACAGCACAAAGGCTTTTTCTTAATAAATTTTAATATTAAGAGCAGTTTGTCTGGATAAAAATGCAGTTACAAGTACCACACTACTGCAAATTGTGCATGATGCACAGTAGTGCTGACAACATTTGAGTAGCAAGACCATTTTGGAACAGTTTGTGAAAGGTATGTCAAAAACAGAATCTTGGCATAAGTAAGAATGTATGTTACCAGTGAATTTATTATTGTGAAAATATATCTGTCCCACAATGTACACCACTGTAAATAATCAAATGCAATATTTATGCACATCAAAAATATATGGGGTGAATATATACT